CCTCTTTTAGTTTTCCGGTAACACTTCCATGCATTTGTGTCTCGATTTTTCCATCTTTCTCGTATTCGATTTTGATACAATCTACGCCGTTCATGTTTTCCCCAACGATCACTTTCCTCACACCTTCGTAACCAAAAACCCCATCGTCGAATGCATCTCCTTTGTTACCACCGAAAGGTCCAACTTTCTCTGACATTGTTGTTTCCTGAAACATGCAACAGTATTACATCAAAAAAACTGAAATTTTAATTTGAATTACAGCATTTGGACGAAAACATATTTTATCAATCGCTTTCAATAACAATGAAAACCATGCACAAGCCAAATCCAATTTTTTTGAAACGATAATAATAAGGGAAGGCATTTTACAAGTTCTTTAAGATGGCCAATTTGCACAAATAATAACTGTGACTCTAGATCCGAATCGAGGCTCAAGATATAATAAATAAGAAAAAATGGTAGAAATTTTGTAAAGTAGAATAGATATTTGTAACCTTAGGATTTCTTAGCTCTGATTCAAGTAGGAAAGTGATGAATGAATGTGAGTTGGGATAATGCTTATATAATAAATTGACACTCTTTAGTACGGACCAAATCCAATATTGACTCTTTTTTTTTACTACGATGTTTTTCTTTTACTATTAACTAGATAGTTACCCGCGTTATACGCGGTATAATATGATACGCGAGTAAAATCAATATAATTTTAGTTTAAAAAATCATCTATAGTTATTGGAAAAATTATTATACGGAATTTAAAACTCGTTTATATGTATATGAATTTTACAATTATTTCGTATAAATAGTATCCCACCCATGAAATAATTGAAAACAACAAATTTTTAGTTCTTCGTCAATATATATCACTTATTAACAAAATGTATTTATTTAATATCATAATCTTCAAAACTACGGTTTATGACTCAAATATACAAAATAAAAGATTGCAACTATGAATTAAATTTTATAGGTTTAGGGTAGTTATAAAAGTAATAATATAATGTTTAATAACTTTCTCAAGTTTTAATTATAAGAATTAATATTACAATATTTGAATAATTTTTTTAGGATAGTTTATAAATATATTCTAATGTGTTTGACAATTAGGATTAGAGTATATTAGGATAAGTTATTTGGAATTAAATGTAGAGAAATTTCAAAAAATGCCACTTTTCAAGTGCCACTTTACAAAAATGCCACACTTTTGAAATCTTTACAAAAATGCCACTTTTTCAAAATTATTTTTTCTTTATATTATTTATGTTTGGGTTAATTGTGTTTTATTAGGGTTTAGTTTTGAGTATTTAGGGGGTTTTAGGTGTCAAAACATTTTTTAGGGTTTAGAATTTTAAGATATAGGCTTTATAAATCTATAATTAGTGCTATTTTTGTAAATGGACACCCCTAAATGGCATTCTTGCAAATATGCATACAAAAAGTGGCATTTTTTGTAATTGCCCCTTAAATGTATTTGGTAATGAGTATAAAGGAATAAAATAAATAAAGAAAATTTGAGAGCTTGGCATCTAAGCAAAATGATCCAAGAATATTTTTTCTTTAATATATAGAGGATGTTTTTTTTTTTTTTTTGAGAAACAACTTTTACTTTTACTATTAATTTACGTTGATGCATATTTTATTTTCCATATTTGTTAAGATTTGTACGCTTGGAGGCTAATTCAATTAAGATACAAGCTTTTTTTTTGTATCAAGACATATATATCCAAAAGGGATAATTTGCTGAAAATATAACAAAAAAATTGTAACTTAAAAAGTAACAAAAAATCTCTAATCCAATGGTTATGATTTTACCACATACTCCACTTTTACTTACTTTTAAAAAAAATTTCTTTTTTGTTATACATCAAAATCACCCTATCCAAATTAACCCTATATAGAAATGTAAATAAAAATCTATGATATGATGGAAGAAAGTTGTTACACCCTTTTTACAACAAAAAAAAAGGTAGTTAAACACGTTATGTAACACGTGAGAGAAATGCTAGTTCTCATATACCTTTTTTCAAAAAAACTTTTTCTTTTATATACTTTTCAAATAATAATGAAAGAAAAAGAAAAAAAATTGGTAAATCGATTTCAAAATCAAGCGGATTCCAAATTATTAAAAACAAAAAACAAATCTAAAGTGATATTGATATGACAGTAAAATAGCAAAATGGCTGAACAAAAAAAAATAATTTAACATAATTTTTAAACCCTACAAAATTATTTTAGTTAGTTATATATTAAAGATGTTGTACATTGTAAACACATGTGTAAAATATGATTTTAAGAGGTTACTAAAATTATGTTTCCTTCAAACCAAGAAAGGCATGATTTACCTACATAGTTCACGCAAA